TCAGTGCTCGCATCGGTGGAGAGACGGCTTTAATCGTTACGTGACGTTTACATTAATTGCAGTTAACTTGAACTTCGACTTCGTAACCTCAAGCTCAAATTATTAACTCTTTAGTAAGCTATTTTTTTTAATTCAGACGACATTCTAATTATTTATCACAAGATGAACTTTGTCTCTAGAATAGATAAGTTGTTTTAAAGCTTGTGGTCTCAGTAAAAGCTACTGTTATTATTTTTGTAATATTTTAGACATTTTTTTATTAAACTAAATACAGATAATTAAACGTGCAGGAAGAAAGAAGCTTCAAGATAATATCCATTCTTTTCCAGGGGAGGAGAAACCTGAATGCAAGTTTCTTAAAACAAACATTTAACCTTTACTTCTTATTACATGCACTACTATTGCATATCTACTTACATTATAAACCCCTTTACAGGCTTACTAACTCGTACTTGAGATTGCGGAAAACTACGCCGTCATAACACTAGCCAATTACTTAGTCACACTATGTTGTGTACGCTACGTCCTATTTTTATAAAGTGTAAAGTGGATTAACTGGGAAAATATTCTGTGCACGCGGGCTTTCCTCCGGCTTCTAATCTTGTGTAACACGTAAAGTTCTTAGAGCGAGTTATAAGTTACTATTATGCAATCATTAGCTCTTCTTGCCGCGCTAGCTCCACGCCACTAAGACCTTAGTTGAGAGGGCGCGAACCTTTCACCTGTCTGCTTTTACCACCTGCAGACTTAAACCGCTTACACTGAATATAAAGGTTGTTTAACGTTCACGAGGAAATCTGAAAATATTTCCGTTGTGGCGGCCAGCTTAGCGACGTCTTGCCATATTGCGATAATGTCCCAAATAAATTGGCAGGCGGAAACAGGACACGACAGGGTTAAATTGAACTACCAATTTTGGACCGCTTTTGTTCCATTCTAGCATTTATATTTCAAATACTAGATTCAATGCCTCTTTATATTTCATTGCCAAAATTCAATGAGGAATGTCTTAATATTATTTTAGGTCTGATCTCATTTAATGTTAGTCTTTTTGTAAGCACTTAATCTGATTCAGAAAATTTCGAGACCACAGTCTCTGCCAACCGAGGAAATTTAAATAGGCACTGTCATTTTACGAGTTGTAAATATAAAAGCTCATTTTAAAGCTTCCCCGTCGAATCTGAAAGGACTTCATTTCGTTTCGGAAAGCGAAGTGACCAAACCTATTTTATTCAAAGTTGAATTTGTCATTGCTTCAGGAAATGTGAAATGTTATTTCCTATTTAACTTCCGACAATTTCCGTCCAGTGCGCTGGGTTAAACGGTTATGCAAACTTCTGTGTGAGCCGTAGAGGATAGACGTCCTCTGTAAAGCTTCAGCCAAACCAACGCGTGGTGATGGCGATGGCAATCGGAGGGCTTAGTGTGAGTTTACATTAAATGTCCTCACTAGTGAGCGCTATAAAAAATCAATATTTTAGTTCTTGAAAGCTTCTGTAGCACTGTAAAATCCGTCATACATTTGTCACTTTTTTACGCAATCGATATCGAATGCGTTTGAAGTAAACTCACACTACGCCCCCAGAAGTGTATGAATTTGTAGCGATGAGTTCACATCAACGTGTCATGTCATTGGTATACAATATGCACGTGCAGTGATCGCTATCGCCGACGCGATCTACACGCGTTGGTTTGGCTGAAGCGTAACTTCGGAGAATGTTTGCCTTGCATAGAATACACCCCATATGAATACCTGCCTCTGAAGTATTCTGCGAAATATGTAAGTTGCTGCAAAAGTGCACTTCCCAAATATTGAACTGTATTTGGGAGTTAATGAGTTTGTTGCTTGTTAGATTAATAGACCATGCACGTGCTTAAACACACGTTAGTTGGAAGTACTTGTAACAAATTTTAGGAGTATTTTGGAAAATACTTACCTGCTTTAACTATAATAAATAATGGTCTGAAACACAATGCATATAGCGGTAATATCAAGTATTTCATATGCCTACCTAAGTGAGTATTTAGTAACTTCCTGACACATGCGTAAGATCTACCTATTTTGAACCCCCCGAATCTGAACGAGGTTAATGGCAAATTAGCACACTAATTTAGCACAATGTAGAAACAATAGACGAGAATATAGTTTCTGCTTCGTTACATTACACTAGAATAAGATCCGGTAGGCTCATTCGTAAAATTTGAACAAGAATAATACTGCTTGAGTGAGCTCTATAAAAATATTTCGAAATACCAGACCTAATAGTGATAACAATTGAAAACTTTTACATCTTAATTAAGCATTAGCTATAAGTAAACAGGTAAATTAAAGTCTTGCGATGTTTTACGTGCACATGATAATACATACTAGTGTTGTCCAGTGCTGAGTTTTTCAGAAACGAAGCCCAAAACTCTGACATAATACTTCAAGATTTTCGTTGGAAGAAATCCAAAATTAGGTACTAGTAGGTACTAGGTACTTACTTTATTGTAGAGATTAAATTTATTTTATAGTATTTGTTTGCGGCCCTGCTTTTTATACTCCCATTATGGTTACACAGTCAACGTCTTCACAAATTAATGAACTATCCTCCTTGAAACCGCACTGTAAAGTTTGTTTTAAGAAATATACCCCATTCATTTGTGCACCTGAATTATACAGAGGCAGACTCGCTCGCCAAGAATATGTTTACATTCTGCCCCTTGCTAGATTTATTGCCACTTAACGTAAGTCCTGCATTCTAGACATGCCCGCCTGAAGTGGAGTAGGTGCTGGGTTGAGTGTACTTCTTACGAGGTTCTTTATTTTGTTTTGTAGCAATTATTTGATGTTTACGCTTGGACTTCGAATTCGGACAGCGGTCAATGGAGGGGATTACGTGTGATTCGCGGGATGAGTGAGTGGCGAACGCAAGCAATGTTTGGTTTACGGACATTTTTTTACTTCCTTCTATAACTTCAAACTGAGACTTGAGTAGTGACAGCACTTACCTACCACGTGACTATCAAGCTAGAAGCTAGGGTTTTATTTATCATTTGCTTCATTAAAGTAATTTGTTTTCAACATTATTGAAACGTGAAAATATCCTTAAACGACAATGAGTTACTCATCAGGAGGATCGTCTGACTGATCCCGTGTTTTATACTTACAAAAAATTTGCTACTCGTGTTATAAATAGGATTGAAAGAGACATTGTCCTAAGTAATTCTATTGGAAACAATTGCTGGAATTGCTACATCGGTAAATAGCCTGAAGGTGATTAGATAAAGTTCTCTTGTTTCCAACTTGATGGATTTTAACAAATAACATAGCTTTTGCAGATTGAATATTACGATATTCAAATAGGCCCTAAAAACCTTGCAAATTTTCCAAACACTATTTTAGTGTCAATAAACAAAGCGTTAGTATACAATCCACCGGGTTATAGGTAGGATAAATTCATAGCAAAACTTGCATGCGACACAAATGGAGGATTTGAACTGAATTGTTGTTTAGAATTCCCAAAATTTGGACCCGTAATGCCATTGTCTGTCCACATATTTAGGTATTGGATGTTTGTTACATGCGATCGCCGCTAATCGCGTCGCACCGCGGCCGCGCCATCGCGATTCGCGAGCCGAACGCGAACGCGCTAATGGAATCTAACGCAACGCAATTATTGTTCGTAACACCTGACGATTTAAGAGTCCTACGTAAATGTATAAATAAATATTAATTGTTTTTTTTAAACAACTTACATATTGCGTCGCATAAGTGTATCAAGGTGTTGATTGAAATTTTTCTTATTAGAAAATATGAAAGACGCGCAAAATTAAGTCTAAAATAAAGCGAGTCGTGCTAAAAAAAGGCTTGTGTCATCATTAATAAGTAATAAGAGTTAGTAAAATCTATCATATGACAGAGGTACGTAAGTCAGTATTATAACATATAAGTTATTTTAAACTTATTTTTTTTTAAGCTAACTCTCGTAAATTACTAAAGCTGCATCAGTTTAAATAAATTACTTTTTACACAATTTTACCGATAAATAAACTGTTTCAAATGAACCCGTCCATCGGTGAGCCGTTATTTTTAAACTCGTTTCATTAACGCGGCAGTGCCGGCGGCAAACTAAATAATAGAATCAAACACAATGCAATTACGGCACTGTCCATGGCACCTGCGTACGGCTTAAGCGCCATTCGTTATACATGTATCGGCGCTTACGCCGTCTGCTGGTTCCCAGGGCTTATTATTAGATAACGGCTGCTCTGCATCACAATTGAGCAGTAATCTCACATTTTAAGCAGGTTTAATTCGGCAGCTATAGGATAGGCGTACAAGATATCCTTATCCGGGCTAATTTGGGCGTAGGTATACGATTAATTTCCTTTATTTCATGGGTTTTCTTCATCTCTATGTTAGGTTCAAAGCAGATGGTATGTATAATATATTTTTTTTATTTTAATTTTACAAAATTTTTAAACGTCTGTCTGAATGGAACGCATCAAATTACATTTTTGTTTAAAAATCGTAATTAAAAAAAGTGTTTATGTTGTTTAGCCATTCTTCATCACACCAATTCTATTGATTCCTTTGCACAACTTGCAGGTAGAAGAACTATACTCGTATAAATATTTATAAGTGAGACTACTATTATTTTACTTCTTTATTCATCATCATCATTTCAGCCACAGGACTCCACGACGTTACTTCTTTATTGGCTGCCGTTAATTGCCGACTATCGATTTCATAAAAAACAAAACCACTTCATTAGATTGTATCTCACATTTGCATTGCATAGTATTGTTCGTGAGATATCCGCTTTTATTACGGTCGAAGTGGATGCTAGTATGATCTTTTTTGCTGTTATTTATACGATGTGATGTGGTCATAATAATAAGTTAAGGAAAATTGATCTTAATTGTGTAAAGCGATTACGCTTTATTAACTCGGAAACCTCTAGAAGACATGTAAAAATTAAATACAAAAACAACTGATTCATTCAATCAATACATACCTATTTTATTACTACGAGTTGATTGGTGGGTGATTCACGAAGCGAGTCTCTTTCGTGCGCTCTGAAAAAGAAGAAAAACATAAATTAATTACAATTACACAATAGAACACTATTTAAAATTGGAACATTATTTTTTTTTTTTAAATCTACAACGAGGAAGCTCTTGGCCTGTTTAAAATTAGAACAGACGCAAATTAATTAGATTACATTTTGAAAGAGGCAATTTAAAAAAGGTTCGATAGCGTTAACCAATGTTTGTGTGCGCGCGCGCTCTAATCGGTTTAAGCCGCGACGTGCCGCGCCTACCGCACGCCGTGCTTAGACTTACAACTTACTACATTTGGGGTGCGGTTTGGTAGTTTGCTCCTTTTGAACCGACTGCAGAAGGAGGGATCATGTTTTTGACTGTGACTTTACGACGGTCGGGAAAAATAAGTCGATGGAAAATGGATAGAGAAAAGGGAGTAAGTAAGTATATTTTTCAGGTTGAATTTAATTTGTAAGGTATTTCATAAAAATATTGATTTATGTTACTAACTCTTAACATTAGTAAGTAGCATGATTATTTGTGTGAGAATAGCTTATCCTACATTGCTATTAAGCAGTAGTTCGGTTGAACGACGTTCGGAAAATCGACTCTACATTTGCTATGCAAAGATTGACGCGCGCACTATAGGCAAGCTTATCGGAGCTAGCTGAGTTGCGGAGAGCCTGAACTTGTCAGCTTTGTAAAATTCCATAGGTAGCGCATTGTAATTATTTGTTTACTTTTTGATTTTTCCATCTAATCGTACGATTACCCCTAATCATAAACTTTACCAGCAGTTTCTAAAACATAGCCCGCAGGTCTACCCTAAAAGCAATTTTAGTACAATAGCCATCCAATATAGTTCTGTTAATCTTGTTAGAGCACCGCTAGCCGCATCACGAATTCTGCCCGCCAACTCCGTTCACACGGACTGCATCGTAATGGCGGGGCTCGCGGCACGCATCGGCATTTTGTCCTTATTACTGGCCAGCAACAAAAATGGGGATCATGCTCTATGGTCGTTCAAAATATCACATGTCAATTCCACGTGAATTACAACTGGCCAGTGCTTTTGGGGCGGTATTGGGACCGGCTTTGTTTAAAAATTTGAAAACCGAATCGCTCTGTAAGGAAACATAACTTTGTTTCTTTTTTTTTCCATTTTTATGGCTTGCATAGGCGTGACCACCAGTGTCATACACACACATGCATTTTAAATTTCAAATCTTTTTTTTATTGCGGGAAAATATTAGAAATTTTAACTACACCTTTTTTACAAAGATTAAAAAACAAACTCTTGTAAAATGAATTTTATTCGCTGTAACAAAGCTATCCAGTCGAACATTTTGTTTTTATTGCCAACAAGGCATTTTGTTTGCCCCGTCGAGTACACGGAAATAAAGTTTATTTGCAAAACATTTTAAACAAAAATCCTCCTTTGATATTCATATTATTGTTATTCATTGCGGGATTCACGGGATCTGTTCCGCATTCCCCGGGTGGTTAATTTGATTCACTTTCTCAAAATTCAAGGTCATTGTGTTGCTTTGGCTCTGAATAAATTATGTTATACGTGTTTCACCAAGAAACAGGTTAAAATAAATATTTGGATATGATAAAATGTTATAATATCCATCATATCTAAGCACCTACGTTAATTTACGAATGAATTTTAGAAATCATCAAATTTTTTTTTTTATTAATGTTATTTGGGTTTAAATATTTTTTCTCTATTTATACAAGTAAAATTGTTGGCATCATAATTTAACCATTTTAATAACCGACTTTATTAAAAATATTACAAAAACAACCCCAAAAATTTTCCACACCAATGAAAATTAACGGCAGGGTGTTTCTTACCGGAAAATGAAAATACTGCCTACAATCTGTCAAGTTGAAATTATTAGGTATTTGGGGGTTATTATGCCGGCAGACGCGCGGTTATCGCTCACCTTTATGGCCACTAACGTTGAGTTACGATCGCGTTGTTACAGACGACAGCACTTTAAGCTAAACACTGGGGCATCTTAGTCCGTTGAAATAGATGCTATTTTGCAACCAAAATGTGTCTTTGCTGTACGTCCCAAGAATCGAATGATAATTGAAGGCGACGCGGTTAAGGAGTGTACAAGAACTAATCTTTTTAACTACCAATGTTATCGATTATAAAATTTATTACGCGTTTATTCACCGGTCTTTTATTGGTTTTAGTTTTATTTTATATATTACCCTGACTCTTTTATGGCTTGGACTGAGCAAATTAATTAATTTAAATTAAATTATTTGTGAACCATATCTTTCTTTTCAGTGTACCTACCTATTTATGTATATATTGCGACAGGAACGTGCCAAAAAAGTGGCATGGACAAGGTAATCAGTTTCATCATCATAAATAATTATGTTTTTCCAGCGCCTGCCTGTAGGTACCTAATATTAATAACACGTGGTCACGTGACAATAATAAGTACACAGTACCTACTTTTAAAATTAGACTTGTGAGGACTACAGGCATGCTGAGCATAAAGGCAAATCAGTGCGTATGTACCCGGCAAATATTATTTTGTTAAAGAAGTCAATGGCTTATAATTTGTACGATACCGATATACCTTCTTCAAAATAAAACCAATGCCTGCCAATGCCAATCAAATAAGAAATGAACTTTAGGTAATTTAAAAATTGATTATTGATGTGATCAATGCCCAACAACTTTTCAGCATGAGTACCTACAATCCTGAAAAAGTTGTTGCCAAGGAAATTAATATTCCACCGATATCAGTTCTAAGATTTTTGCCAAAATCTTTGGTTTAGAAATTTCAATTGACTTCTCAAAAAACTTTTCCGGAAGAGCCGGCCGCGTTTCAGAATTTTTCCTTTTAAAACTTCTTACGGTTTGTATTTCGTTTCAAACGCGAACATTTTCAGGTTTTCAAACGGCAAAATTCAAATTGGAGGCTTTGATTTGAGCGGTACTGTCAATAAAATAAAATTAATGCACAAACTAACATCCGCTGTGGAGACCACTGTAAACACTGAATGTGACTTCTGGACTGAATGGGGTAGTTATTTTTAGTCAGAAGTCGAAGTTTTTTATTGATGCACGAACGCTAGCAATAAGTATGAATCAATCGTATTTTTGTCTTAGGATAGGTAATATGAACAGAAAAATAGTTGTGATACTTACACAAACAAGTAAGTAACTTAAAAACTGGGTGTTTTTAACATTAAATTACCTAAGCAGGTATTTTAAGGAAATTAAGGCTGAGTTGCACCACCTTACTTCAACCGTAACTATAACGATAACTTGTGTTTTTTGTGTGGAGTTTGACAGATTTTTGACGTTTGTTACAGTTAACGTAAGATGGTGCAACCCAGCCTTAGAAGAAGTTTTATTTGCATTTTACAGAAACATTCGCATTTTCGTATGCCAATATTAAGAGCTTTACCTAATAGTAAATAAAATCCCCGGACTTCTTTTTGCTAGCTTGTTTTTCCCAATAATAGTCCCAAAATCCAAAGTAAGATTGTAAAACAAACTCCATGGTAAAAAGTTTGTGGGTCAGATAAGTTATTACGTGGCCCTGAACACAATCGAACCCACTTCCCTATTTTTCATCGCAATAGGGCACTTACAACCGACATATTGCCTAGTTGACAAAACGTGCTTGATTAATCCGTTTCAGATTTATGAGACAAAATAAATCAATGGGAGCGCGACAAACAAGTCATAGCAGCTTGCTAACACAGCTCTCGATTTTTGTCTCTACCACGTAAAGATAAATTAGCCATATAGACGCTGCATTAGAAAGGAGGATCTTTTCTTTAACAAGTAATAAGATTTGGAGGATACAATAATTTTTATTACAAATGCTTATTGGAAATACTTTAGACCTATGTTTTTGTTCTTTCACCCTTGAGAAACGTTTAATAGGCTAACGTTACGAATAAAGTTACTTCACTTTTCATTCATTTTCTTATGGTTTGCTATGAATTTTACTTGGGTACTTGCTGGACCATAGCTTTTCTGACTAGTAGAGTTGCCTAGATTACATAGATGAAACAGTTTTCTCGGTTTTATTTTGTCAGTGGCAATGACACTTGTGTTGAACCATGATCATTTCCCTCTTTTCCTGCTTCTATCTACTTAAGTTGTCTGAGTAGCTACCCTTCCCCCAATTTATGGAGCTTGCAAAAACTCCGTAACTCCTGCTACATAAATTAAGCATCGATTTTTTATGAACCCATTATACTCACATTAGCCTTTGTATGGTGGAATTGATGAACCATGGCAAGTTTGAATAATAAAAGCGCGAGCGTGTTGATAAAGTGATTAATCATTTGGATTGATTGCCGAATTAAACCCAGATCGCGTGTTTGGAAAACCTTAACATATCTCACGAAAATAATTTGAAACGAAAACAAATTGTATGATTTGTAGAAAGCCCTGTTTTCCAGAGTTTTAAAATAGGTGGGGTAAAAGGAGGCAAATGATGTGAATAAAGATCAACAATCACGTTGCGGTATTTTAAGTAAACTTACTTTTTTTTCGTAGCATCAGCACGGTTACCCAGTAATCGTATTTTATACCGCCAACTCATATTTTAACTCGACAAGAGGGTAAAAAGTTTAAAAAATTAATCCGAGACAGTATAAATTTTCAATGAAGCTACGTTATTGAGGACATACACCTCCGGAGGCACTAACCGTATCCGCAAGGGTGTGGAATTTTGTCTTAGAGCCAAATTGTCTACCGCTAGACATTTTATGAGTTGATAAAAACGGGGGATTTTGTCCCTTCTTCCCGGTTTTATGGGCAGCCGAGCTGCATGCGAGACTTTCAAATAACCGACTCTCATTACTAGAGCGACCATTATTCTAGAAAGTAGAGGACATATTTTTTCTTCCAGTTAAAAATAATTCTGTTGTGGCTACAAAAAATAACAAAGCTCTTGTAATACTAATTAAATCATACTTTTATTAACAACTTTAGAACTTTATCTTTGGTGTTTTAGATTTTTAACATTTCAGAATAATAA